TGTGTGTGTGTGTGGTGTGCACGCACGCACATGTGCGTGCACATCCTGGGGCTTGAATTAAGCCTGGGTGCTTTCCTTGAGCTTTTGTGCTCAAGGATAGTGCTCTACTAATTGAGCTGTAACTCTACTTCTGGCTTTTTGGTGACTAATTGGAGATAATAGCCTCAAAAACTTTCCTGCCCAGGCTTTGAACCAGCATCCTCAGATCTCAACCTCCTGAGTGGATGAGATTACAGGTGTGAGCCACCAGTGCCTCCCTAAACCCCGAGTTTATAAATGCACATGTCTGTGCAGGAGAACCCTTTAGAGGGCTCGGTGCCCTAGTCTCTAAGAAGCATTGTCCAGTAAAAATACAATGAGTAATTACAAAACAATTGTGACCACACTGAAAAATATTGTGGAAAACAGAGGTAGAATTATAGTTAATGCAACTGATTCTGGTTTTAAACTGTTTACGCACATTAATTATGTAACCTTTATAAAATTATTATGATGTTTTAGTGTATGTAGGGAGTTCTTAACCTTTGAAACTCACCACTGCTCTACCTGTGGTCTAGATACTGTCAGTAGTTACTGAATAGCCGAGTTCTGAAATATCTTTTTTTTTGTCAGTCATGGGCTTGAACTCTGGGCCTGGATACTGTCACTCAGCTCTTTAACTTAAGGACAGCGCCCTACCACTTGAGTCACAGTGCCACTTCCAGTTTTCTGGTGGTTCATTGGAGATGAGAATCTCCCGGACTTTCCTGCCGGGCTGGCTTTGAACCATAATCCTCAGATCTCAGCCTCCTGAGTAGCTAGGATTATAGACGTGAGCCATTGGCGCCCAGCTGGAATATCTTTACCCAAATAAAAGGTTAAGAAGTTGTAGCTGAGGAAGGCAGCAGTGAGATGGGCATGGAAACAGATGGATGCTGTGACCCCTTCCCCATCCCTCCATTCACATCTAAGATACATTTTGACTCAGTATCAGTCCTAACTACAGTGTATGAAAATGTTCAGAAGACCATGGACATTGGAGTTAAACTGACTTCATCACTTAGCCCTGACCCTGAAAGTTACTTCAGCTGAACAATGAGTGTTATTTATTATCTTAACCAAACTCATGAGTGGTTTCGGAAATTAAGTGAAATAATATGTGCAAACACAATAAATACCCAATGGATGCTTGGCAGGTTGCATTGTGATGGCTATACTGCTAGACAATCCATGAAGACAGTTGGATACTATCAACTATTGTATAGCTCTTCAAACAAGGGAGAGTGGCTGCAATGATAGAACCACTGGTACCTGACTTTTCATGAAGAATCTTCAAATCAAGCTGGTTGTGGTAGAGTGATAGCTGGTCAACAAAGAGAGTTTCTTTCTTCTTCTTCTTTTTTCTCATTCTGCAAAAAAGTAAAGTGCTTCAGGCAAAGCTCAGGAAATTGAGTGCAATATTTTTTTCCACTGATGTCAAGTGATCTTCCCACAATGACCTAGTCAGAAGGCCTGGAGCCTGTGCCTAGCTAGCCCATCCCATTCAACCCTCCTAGGAAAAGGCTACAAGAGAAGGATGTCTCTTGAGGGAATATGTTGAACTTGCTTATAAAGTGATTAGCATTCAGAAATACAGTGTCCCAATGCTCAACCAAAGGAGGATGATGGGAAATAATCATGTGTCAATGTGATGAGGAGTTTTATATACAGTAACAGAGATGGTAAAAAGTTTAAGGTACAAGTAACGTGGCGAATAAAGGCAGGCTGTATTTACACAGGAAGGCTGTGAACCACGCAGAGCAAAGAAATAGAGTGAACCATTAATTTAGCAGGTCATTTTGAATGTCGGCAGCAAAATGGCTGTGTGTGAAAAGCCACTACTACTGTATTTTGAGAGTGCCTTTCTAAGAATCCTGAAATATTAATAACGTCGTCTTAATGTAGTTGAAGACAAAAGAATATGTTAAGGGCAACAAGGGCACAATGACAATTTGATATTTTCTGCATGTGCTCATAAAAGCGAGAAGAAAAAGTGAAAATAGAACAGCAGCTTTCAGTTTTCCCAATTGGTATAAAGTTCTGTATTTTCCAAACTAACTCAAGCGCATTTATTGTTGGTAACTGATTAATACCAGCTTTGAGGAAAAAAGCAAGAAAAAAATGTACTTGCAATGAAAATTATTTTTTTCCTTGAATTCACATAATAAATACACTGAATTTCTGAACTCTTTTTGGTCAGTCGTGGGGCTTCAACTCAGGGCCTGGGCGCTGTCCCTGAGCCTCATTGTGCTCAAGGCTAGTGATCTACCACTTGAGCCACAGCACCATTTCCAGTTTTTGATTGGTTAATTGGAGATAGGACTCTCATGGGAACTTTTTGTGCCCTGGTTGGCTTCTTACAAGAATAGTTGAAGAAATAAGAAAACCTTTGCTTCCTTTGTGTGTATGCATTTGATGCCATTTAGGTCTGTTTTCTTTTCTGATTATAGAATTCAAAGACAGAAAAGTGTTGAATGCAGACAGAGTAAGTTTAGCCAAAAGTTAAAGGAAAGCAGCAAAACAGATTCTCCATAAGCAGACCCAACCCTGGGAGTCTGGTGAACTTTCAGTTATTATAGTAGGATGGTTCCTCCATACCTCCTCTCCTGAGCTTTGAGCAGTTTTGTTGATGGCTTCTGTATGTATTGCCTCAGCTCTTTTTATTGGCTGAGTGGGAACCCTGGGCATTGTGGGAAAAAGCACAATGATGGGCCACACACATGTTATCTGTTATTTGTTATGTCCACTATATATATATATATATATATATATATATTTTTTTTTATCCCTGTCTACCTAATCAAGGATGCCTACTCTCCTTTACTTGGGGTTGTGTGTGTGTGTGTGTGTGTGATCGTGATCTGTCCTTGGTTAATTTCTGCCAATCCTTCCACTCCCAACAGGTGACTTTAGGTTTCAATGCTTCACAAAAGGATAGCACACATGGATTAGCCAGAGACATGTAGAATTCTTCTTAAAAACAGGAAAATAATGTGCCATGCTGGCAGTCTTGGCACAAGTTCACTGCAGTTGCATTCACCACCTGAGACTCTGTGTATAACAGGCAGGATCTAGGGACATGGTGCCATGTTCAAGGGCTCTCTGTGTTTGATGTGGGCTGGTCAGGCCTGACTCTCCCACAGCCCAGTGCTTCCTCCTGCTACAGCCTGGGTTTCTGATTTTAATGGAAACCCCAGGGCCATCTTAAGCACGACCAAAAAGGCACCTTGCAAGTTGAACCTTATCTAATTATGCTATGTGTATAAACTTGAGACACATAAATCTCAGCCACTGGAGCAACTTGTTTTTCTAAGATGCTTTGGTCCAGTGCAAGACGAAAGCAAATAAAGGAGAGATTGATCTCCGAGCACTTTTATTGTTGCTACTCCACACATCATAAAGTTTGGGCTCGTTAAAGGAAATTCCATAAACAACTTTAGTTAATAAGAGTGAAGTAACTGTGTGCCTCTCTGAGCTCCAGCTAAACTCCCTTTCCGCTGGCCATCATGAGGGTGCCATGAAAAGAGGAAAATGACACGAGGATTTGCAAGAGCAAGGTCAAGGGGTAGGCAGCCACAGGAAGCGGGTCAGATACTCCTTGGACCAGCACAGCTTCCAAAGGATCTCGTGGATTTCTAGCATGGTGGGTCTGGTCTCTTGGTGGTTAGGCTCATGGCAAACATCCAGTGGGTCCTTTTCCCAGCTGGTTTTTTTTTTTTTTTTTTTTGATGGTATACAACACAGGACAGACAGGATAAATGGGGCAAAGTGAGAATGAATGAGTCCTGGTGGGAAGACGGTGGGTCCCATCCGTTATTTTCATTTAACACCCGATGTTATAGAAAACTGTACTTTTTAATGGCCGTTGCCTCTGAGTTTGATGGCTGATGGCTAGCGTTGGTCCGTTTTCATTTTGAGAGGTGATCGTGAAGAACATAGCCATGCACTATTAATTATTTTTTATTATCAGCTTTCAGGGTGTGATTGAATTTTTCCATGTTAGTAGAAGTAATCCTCAGTGTCCGTGTGATGTTTATAAAAGATGAGGTCATGGAAAGGATGTCAGGTGCAGGGGGAACTATATGACCCGTGTTCTGGGCACTGGCCTCTTGGGGCTGAGAAATGGAGGAAGAAGGAAAATAGGAGGAGTTTTGATTAACTTCAAAATGAACAACGAGTATCTGCTGACTTTTGAAGGCAGGGGGTTGGGGGGGGGAGAGTGTGGAAGGCTCTTCGCATATTATTGTTACCTACAGTTAGTAGTTGTTTTTTTTTAATTGCTCGGCCCTGAAATCATGACCCCTGCCTCACAGATGCTTGTCTTTTTTACTTGGCTGGTTTGTTGGGGTTTTTTGATTTGCTTCTTTCTGTAGCTATAATTAGGAAATAATCACTGACCAATGTTCTGTTAGTATTTGGACACACTTCCAACTGGTTGGTTAAAGACCAGGCTCTCAGATTTGCCAAAACATGCGTCTAACAGTTCAGGCTTTGTGGGGAGAACACTTAGAGTTGGAAACTGGTGGCTGACACTCACCAGACGCATGGTCTTATATAAGGAATCACCTGCTGGAGGCGGGAATTCCTGGTTTCTAAGGTAAAGGGAATAGTAGTGCTTTTGGAAACAGGCTGTAGTAAGCATGAAATGAGATCTTGCATACAGGGCCACCCGGCCTCTACAGCAGCATTCAGTCAACTTTAGATGTGTTTATATTATTAGATTCCACCACATTGAAGGCTGTGTCTTCCAAGGGGACTCTTGCTTGCCACCTAACCAGAAGTGCTAATAATCCTTCAAGATGGGCTATCACCAATCAATGCTTTGGGTTGCTTTGCCTTTACCTCAAAAACCTGGTGACCACTCATGATGGGCAAACATGCTGCCCCTTTTTCCGAATCAAGGAAATGCCTTCCCGTGTTCCTCCTTTGCTGTCTTCACCGTGTTTTAAATCGGTTTGTTTTTCTTCTCTCCTTCCCTGTAGCTTGCAAAATTGGATATTACAAGGCTCTCTCCACGGATGCCACCTGTGCCAAGTGTCCACCCCACAGCTACTCCGTCTGGGAGGGAGCCACCTCATGCACCTGTGACCGAGGCTTTTTCAGAGCTGACAATGACGCTGCCTCCATGCCCTGCACCCGTAAGTTGTTTGCTTGTCTCCTGTCTCTTCACTGCCAGAGGCTCGCAGGAGCACCGGGCAGCATGCTGCCAGCATCTTCTCACAGTATAACCATGCAGGGGGCAAATGAGATCAAGCATGTGACCTTCCTCAGTCATAGGAGCAAAACACTTGTAAAAAGAAAGGATCTTTTTTACTTTTCCTGGTTACCTTTGCCTTCAAAATACGCACAGCTACCAACCAACGATGTGAAGCAGAGATTGAGTGTTCTGGGTTGTCTGACAGTGTAATTAGAGCTGAGTTTGGAACTTATAAATGGCTTTACCATTGCATCAAGGGCTCCGAGAAGCTTGGCAGGTTGGGGAGACACAGGTAGAGGGCAGGGTTTGGGAATGTGGGTTCAGTGGAAAGAGACAGTTCAGTGTACACTGAGGTCATTGCTGTGGTGATTGTACTTCTTCCTTCTTTCCTCATAGTTTTGTATGCATAACACTTAGGCCTGGATGCTAATAAATGCTTGTTTAATGATAAGCACTTCATGTATGTGGGCTAGTGAACAGATTGGGCCACCAAACTTGGTGTGAAGGGGAGTAGAGACATGTCTTCCCACACTTTGTTTAGAAAAGATTCCTGGATGTTAGCATTCCTTTCATGTGTACTCCAGGCTCTCCACAGACCCCTATGACACCTTGACAGTGAAGAGGATGGCAGTGATCCACCTGGGTTTTTCTGTCCCTCGTGTGTGTGTGTGTGTGTGTGTGTGTGTGTGTGTGTGTGTGCGTGTGCGTGTGTGTGTGTGTGCATGTGCATGCAAGCGTGCACATATACATTAGGTGAAGTTTGTGTTTCTGGAAGTAAATTCTTGGGACTGAAAGTGTTCAAGATTGAGTTTCTCTGTGTGTGTGTGTGTGTGTATTTAGATTGGGGAATATTTGCCCATACATGAGATACCTTAAGAATGAGACCCAAGTCTAAACATGAAATTAATTTGTTTTATATATACCCTATCCATACCGCCTGAAGGTAATTTTGTACAATATTTTTAGTGAGCCTGTGGTTTGATTACTACCTATTACATGAGATCAGGTGTAGAGTTTTCCTCTTATGGTGTCATGTACAAAACAATGCTCCTTGATAAATTTTGGCTTTTACTTGTATTAGGGCTATTATCATTCCGTTCCTTACCTACTACAAATTGCATGTTGTTTGGCCTGAGGCCAGCATCCCTAAATATAGAAGCTTTCTCCAGAGTTTTTGCAGTTGGAGGTGCTCCATTAGGTGCTACCTTTCAAAGGAGGGGCAGGCTATCTCTAACTTGTGCTGGAATTGCCACCACCTGGGGATTGACTTTCATAACAAGATCCCTATCTTAGTAGCAGAACTATGCAACCTGAAGACACACAATTCCTAGGTCCTAGAAGGTTGTCTTTCCTGGTTTTTCAGGTGCAACAGAAGCTTCCAAAGATAAGGAATATAGAAGCTAGCCTTGCCTTATGCATCACCATCAATGGAAGGATCTCTTCAGCACATTCTTTTCCTATTCCTTCCTGAGATGGAGAGTCCTTCATTTCTCTGGGTGGCCACTTTCATTTAACCTGTTCAAAGTCTTGACATTTTCTCTATGATGAAGTATTTCCTTTTTTTAAATTCTGTATTACCCGTTGTGTGATTAGTTTTGTAATGAGCTCCCTTCTTCTGACCACCCCCACTGCCAACAGGTGGAAACTTAGAACACAATGGTGAAATCAAGGCAAGCTACCTTGGGCTGACATGTTTGATAGTTCCTCTCTATTTCAGGTCATGCATACCTCCTACAAAGAACCTTCTTCAGGCTGAGAGATCTAAGTATGCTATGCATGTCATGAAATTCATCTTGGATGGCATGCATGGTCAGTCTCTTCCCTCCCTCCCCCCCCCCCCCCCGGAGAAAAAAACAAAACAAAACAACTTTTGTTGGTGTTATTTCTTTTATGTCAATGTGGTCCTGGTTTGTTCTGTAGTATTTAGGTTACACTGTGTCAACCACCTTACTACCTGAGAGTTTAGGGCACTGAAGATTACCTTAAGCCTGTGATACTGGATCCTGCTTTCCATGTGCCTGAGACTGGTGTGGTTAAAGGAGCCCTTGGAGTTTGACACGTCTCTAAGTAGCAACTTGTTAGTTTTGTTATGAGGGTAGGAAAAAAGGGAGAGAAAATACGGATTGTTAGCACATGACGAAGGGAAACAAGCAGTTTAAAATTTTAGGTGGTTGATCTTGTATTCTTCTAAAAGATTGTTTCCCCCAAGGTTAGAGGAGAAAGAATGGTTGATTTTTGAGCCACGAATGAAAGGTCCCTGAAGAAACTCCTCACCCATGCCAACAGGTGATCCTTTCTTCCCTGCTCTTGGAAGGCCACCTCTCCTCTGCTCCCAGGTCTTTTGCATCCCACCAATGTGGTCCTTGGGAAACAGTACCAGTCACTACCCCATAGGTTCAGCCAGCTAATCAGAGTGCTGGCTTCAGTCACTAATCAAATCTGTGACAAGCAGAATATTTAATTTCTTCAGGCCCTAGTTTCCTTATCTAAAAAAATGGATTCTTATATCTATGCAAAGATAGGAAAGATGGATTTCCATTTTCTATTGCAAAGGTCTAGCACAAGGTAGTGATTTAATAAATGTTTGATCTCTTTCTTTTTTATCTCCAGCTGGCTACTTCCTTCCCCAAGCCTCCTCCGCAGCAGGCTGCTAATGCAATTCTTTGGCTCTCTATCACTGATTTGCACCCTTGATTACACAATTAAATTATGTGGTGGCCACATTGCAAAGCTGGAGCTCTAGGGACAGGACTCAAAAACATCAATATTTTCCAAAACACGGGCCCATTAATTCCCTTGTACCATCAAGATTTAGACCACCTCTCTACAGAGTTATCATTTTTCACTTAAGTCTCAACCACACAAGTCATATAAGACTTCCTTTGAGAAAGGAGTAGTCAGAGAAATGACCCCCCCTTTGCTAATTGCTACGCATACCCCCCCTTTGCTAATTGCTACGCATATTGATAAGTCAGGAAGTAGAATCAGAAGCTAGTGCTTAGCCCATGGCTCTCCCTCTTGATTTCTTCCTTCCTGTTGAACACAGTGGACCTCTGTGGTGCAATACACCAACCACTAGGTAGCCATTAAAACATAAAAGTCACATCCATTAAATTTAACATTTAGTTTCCCACTTCAGTTTGCTGCTGATCAAGGGCTGTGGAGCCTCACGAGGTTACTGGAGACGGTGCCGAGGAGATGTTTCTATCATGGCTGAAAGTTCTCTTGCACGAGGCACCAGGAGACACTTTAAAAGATGGGACAAGAGGAGTCTCTCAGAAAGTCCCAGGCATTGTCTTCTTCATCCTCAGCTTTATCAGATTCTCTTGACAAGGGGTGGAAAGGAACATAAACATCAGGGAATCCTTTCAACTGGACTCCAGCCCCCAATCAGTCCTTAGCAGTTGGTTAAGCCAGGTGACAAACCCAATTCCCTTGTGCTGACAGCCATGATAATCAGGCACCTTCTTTGTTCATTATGCTGTCTTTAACCCCAGCATTCCTATGCAGCCCTGCATTTAGTGATCGCTCACTGTGACGGCGCACTAATGAAGAAATAAAACACACTCTCTAAGACTCATTCTTCTAGCCAAAGAGAGACTCTGCTCCACTGGCTTGTAAAATCAGGTTTTTGTTCACGTGGAGAACGATTAGACCAGGTGAACACTAGGAGCATCGGCTAATTTAGAAGGCGATGCCTAGATGTTCACACCATCCACCAGGCTGGAAGATGGCAGAAACGTTCATCACAAATAAACTTTCCTTTCTGGGAGACTTGAGATGGAGCCACGTTAGCTTCCCATGGATGGCTGTGGTTGGGCTGTTTCAAGGGAAGCATTATGTGAATATTTTCAGGAAAATAACCTCTACCTGGTTAGAAGAAGAGGGATTTTACTGCATTCACTTTTCCTTCAGTCAGTACTAGAGATGGATGGAGCCCAGGGCTTTGCACTCATTTGGCAAGCACAGGCACTCGAAATCCCCAACCCTTGGCAAATTTTCTGTGAGACAAGGGCTTCGGAAATAGCCCAGGCTCCCCCTGCCACCACCTCCCAAGTAGTTCAGATTACAGGCATGTGCCACCATGCTCAGCAGAGGAGTGCTTCTTAAACAGTCTACGTGAACATTGTTTTAATAAGTCGTTGGACTTTGCCTGATGTTCTGGATTTCTACCATCTTCACAGGTGACGCTGTAGCTTATGGCGTGTGAATCACCTGTCCTCAGGCAAAGAGGACTTAGATCCACAAAACTCTTTTCAAGACTAACTTTCAGTTTCTTCGGTTCACTACTGACTCTAGAAAGACCCTTCAAGTATTCTGAATATTCTCTCTTAGTGGAAACTGAACATTTCATTTGTCTCCTAGATGTAGAAAAATCTATCTTTGTTTTGGGGCATGTACTTGAATGTACTTTGTGTTTTTAAAATTTTTTTTATTTTGTTCTTTGCTTTTCTCTTTTAATTTTTTTCTTTCCTTACTTGTTTGTTTATTACTGGGACTTGAACTCAGGGCTTTAACTCTCTTGCTTGGCCTTTCCTCTCAAAACTGCTTACTTGAGGATAAGAAGCTTTGTCTTGTCCACACTGGTTTTGAACTTAGATCCTCAGATCTCAGCCTCCTGAGTAGCTAGGATTATAGGCGTGAGTACTTAACGCCTGACTTTCTTGTGGTTCTTTATTGCCAGAGAGAAAGAAGTTTGAACATGCTCACCTGAAACACCTAAATGGTCAAAAAAGGGATGTAGGATTCTGGCCACTAACAGAGTCATTTTCCCATAGGTAGGGATCCCAGTTAAGCTGAGAGAGGAATTTTTATTTCATGAATCTTTTTGTAGTGGGAATTTCAGACCGTTTTGTTGATTTAATGAGCACCCTTTAAATGCAGTTCTCTTCCTCCCATTTCTTCCTCCTGTAGTTCCATTTCCCCTAGGTCTGGTACATG